GAATAACTGGAAGTGGATATCCTGGAGTAGGAGCTACGCATGGAATTTCTTACACTGGTCAAGGGTCGAGTATATATTCTGGAACAACTGGAAGTGGATACTCTGGAGCAGGAGGGTTTGGACATGAAACTTCAAGATCCGGTATATACTCTGGAACAACTGGAAGTGGATATTCTGGAGCAGGAGGAGCTGCACATGGAACTTCCTACACTGGTCAAGGATCAGGTGTACATTCTGGAATAACTGGAAGTGGATATTCTGGAGCAGGAGCTACACATCGAACTTCATATACTGATCAAGGATCGGGAAGTGGGTATTCTGGTGCAGGAACTACGCATGGAACTTCTTACACTGGTCAAGGGTCGAATATATATTCTGGAACAACTGAAAGTGGATACTCTGGAGTAGGAGGAGCTGCACATGGAACTTCCTACACTGGTCAAGGATCGGGAGTACATTCTGGAACAATTGGAAGTGAATATTCCGGAGTAGGAGGAGCTACACATGGAACATCATATACTGACCAAGAAACAACTGGAAGTGGATATTCTGGAGCAGCAGGAGCTGCACATGGAACTTCCTACAGCGGTCAAGGATCGAGTATATATTCTGGAACAACTGGAAGTGGATATTCTGGAGTAGGAGGAGCTGCACATGGAACTTCCTACACTGGTCAAGAAACAACTAGATATTCCGGTTCAGGAGCTGATCATGGATATTCAGGAACTGGAACAAGCTACAGTGGAGGATCTCAAGGTACAAAATATTCAGGAGAAACGACTGATACTGGATATACAGGAGTTGGAAGCATTGGACATGTAGGAACGACTGGATCTGTTGTATCTGGTCAAGGATATACGGGACAAGGCTTCATCAGTCATGGTGTTGGTGGTGGAGCTATCGATGGAGGATATTCAGGAACGAAGGGAGGATCTATCGGCGGATCTACTGGAGGATATGCTGGATCAGGAACAACTGGTACCAGAGGATACGCTGGAACCACTAGTGGAACTCACACTGTGAATCACGCTGGATCAGGAAGTGGTTATTTCGGCTCGACAGGATCTTCCACGGGAATTGACTATTCCGGAGCTGGTTCCGCAGGCACAACTGGGCATGGATATTCTGGACAGACATTTGGTTCTCGTCAATCACAAACGCCAATTTATTCTTCCCCTGGTGCACCTGGAATTGGATTAGAGCACGGTGTAACCAACATATATTCACAGACTCGTAAGTTCATTCTGCGACTTATCTTTAATCGAACCATACGAAGATGTGTCCAATTTGTTCTCGTTTAATTTACAGCTCGACCCCTTTTCGCGAATAAGCCCGAGACACCAACCTGTGTCACTATCAATTGTTATGGAATTTCTCAACCGTCAGCTGGTCAGACCATCGTGACAGGCGGCTACGTTCCAAGCCACGGAGCTACTGCTGGAACAAATATTTACCAAGGCACAACTGGATTTCCCGGAGGCTCGAACGCCACTTTTGGCAGTCACGTACCTTCCATTGCAGGTGCAACGTATTATGGAGGCATTACACCTACTGGTGGCTTTGGAGTTGCGACGGATACAGGTGGTATCGTCACAGGACACGGCATCCAAGGATCGATCCTCACTGGAGACTCTACTCCAGGGACGCTCATCACCCATGGAGGTGCTTCTGGCACTATTTTTACTGGTTCGTCCAATCAAGGCAGCATAATAACCGGAGAAAGTCAGCCAGGATACACGAGAACTGGTCCTGGATCGCCTGGATACGTGGTCAGTGACGGAGCGAAAACTCTGTTCCCGGGATCAGTCAGTCCTGGAACGACGATATACGGAACATCTGCACCCGGTGTCGCAGTAACTGGAACACTTTCACCTGGAACTGTCCTAAAGGGTCAACCGAGTCCTGCAATAGTCCTCACGGGACAGACAGCTCCTGGAGTATCTATCGGTGGATCGA